TTTTTACTTATTTTTCCTGCTGTCCCAGGATAGCCACAAGAAGTATACAGAATCAAATTTATTGATAGCCTGTAACATTTCCAGTCAAGGCGTGGACATGGAGTGTCAGTGAGTAATTTGGTGCCTCACTTCCACAAATGCCATGTTTGTGACTAACGCATTCTTGAGACATGTACAGGACAAAGCAGGCCTTGTCAGTGATATGAGCTATACTTTGTTTGCAAACACAGATGTTGTTGTGGTCTGCTGCTCCCCACTAGCTCTCTCCTGAACTGTCACACCTCTTCCACAGCAAGCTCAGCCCTGTTGGGAGGGCTGTTTTCTCTCAGCTCAGGGGCTGCCATCCTGCCCAGCCTTATACTCTCCAGCTGGTCTGACTACGGCAGAACTGTTGTTGACGTAGCAGATGGTCTTGGTATTTCTGAAAGCCAGCAACGCATTTGCCATTTCCACCCCCATGCCCTTGGCTCCTGTTTCTTCTTCAAGTGGTTTGGGTCATTTTTAGCAAACCTGTATATTCAGATGATTTTTTCCTAAATATCAGATGAGGAACATCATAACACATAAATATCCTATCAGAATATAAGCAGAGGCAGTTATTAGGGGTCTTTCATAGAAAACCCATAGGCTGAGATAAATTTTGCTTGGCATGATGGATTCTTAAATGAATCAGAAGGAGCAAACAGTGAGTAAATTTTAAATATTGGAGGCATGAAGTATCAAGCAGTGAGATGTGGCTAATGGATTGTGCTAGAAGAAAGTAAGTCTAACATTCATGGTTTTGAAGGCTTCTTTAAAAATAATATGCCACTGAGTAATGTTCATTCTTACTAAACACAAGAAGACTTGAGAGAAGGCTGAGTAAAATTGAGTTAGAGAATATTCCACAGCAGGGACTTCAGAACCAAAGCAAAGCAAAGGTGCCATAACAATTTGATCTGGGACCCAGTCCAACCATTCTGAAAAATTAAAGCAGACTAATTTATTCTTCTTTGCTTGCCCCATGTAGTCAGGCAATGTGAACTGTTTCTTAAGCTCACTAAATAATGGTGTAAAAACTCTGTTTCACTCAGGCTATGTAAATACCATTTTGGAAAATGCTCATTCTCCCAGAAACGATGGCACAGATGAGAAAGAGACATGAGTAATGCTGGCCCCACAAGGTCCAGCCAGCCTCTTATGAGTCAGCATACCTTTCCAGGCCCATAGGAGTCACCAAATGAGAGCATCCTTTGGATTGGCTAGCAAAGGATGGGCAAGGACCCTGCCTCCAGGATGTGACAGTTAAAACATAGTTTACTAGGTACAAGTGTTTTCTTCTCAGGTGGTCGTAATGATCACAATAGTAAAATGCTTTGCTAACTGATTCCTCTAAGTGCAGAGTCCTAAGAATGGGATCATAGATCCATATGGATGGAGGGAGTGTGTAAAAAGGATGGGAGGACTTTGTGGAGGTGAACATAGGATGTTCCAGGTAGGACAAGTTGAATGAGGAAAACCAATCTGAGTGTGAGATACATAGGGGTGAGGAGGGAGGAAGATGTACACATGGCCCACGAGCAGAAGGATCAGCTCCTGGGTCATGATGAGGACTTAAGGGAGGAGTGGCACTGGGTACACAATCTAATCTCCAATTTCTGCCTGCTCTGTTGATTAACATTAGTAGGGTCTCCAAAGTAACACACTGCTTGATTAAAAGGTTCACTTCATAATGGAAAGCAGCTCACCCAACAAAGAACATTCTGGTAACCCTACCATCAAATCTAGCTTGCTGTCACCAAGCACAGAAGAGCTAGTATACTTAAGAGAATTTATGTAATGTGAAAAATATTTAACAACTAGGTGGAATGGACACCAAGCAATCAGAACAGAAATAGTCATAGTGCTAGAGTATTTGCCAGACCATGGGGAGGTCAGAGGGAGCCTGAAGGGGTGGGGGATGAGGTTTTGGGATAATTCTAAGGACACCCAAGGATATCCGTATTCTAATATACCAGCCAATACAAGGCCTGAAGACAACCAATGTTCCCATAAGTCATGTAGTGAAATAGATTTGTTTACAACATGTTGAGAGTCCTTTTCAGAAGCAGTAGTAAAAGTTTATAGAGCCAAGAAAAGAGCCCACATTTGAGACCCTTCTCACCTGCTAAGGCTCCTTACTCTTTATCAAACTACATTTGGTTTAGCCAAATGAAAGAAATAATTTAAAAAGCATCATCTCATACCTTCTCTCTTCAATAGTAGACAAACTGCAAGGAAGAGGGTTCAGCAAAGAGTTTAAATCCAGATGACATTAAACACTAGGAGCATTAAAACTCAGGTCAGGTTGATCTGGTCCTTCCAGATTAACCTCAGATTCTCAAACACACACATATTCAGAACAGATGTTATCTGAGGATGCAGTAATGGCCTGTGATCCAGATTATTACTTTGGGCTGTTAGAGCCCTTGACATATTTGAGAGTACTGCTAATTCCTAGAGTGTGTTTGGGTTCCAAAGCGTTTTGGAAACATTTGGTATATGTGTGCAAACATAACCTATGTGTAATTGTCCTTGAAAGCAGGTATGTTATTGGCTATTTAGTGACTATATAATCTTTTTCTTGAGAAATAGCAGGTCATCAAAATTTTAGGAAAACAGACTCCACACAAACTCAAGTAGCATAGCTCAGCCTATGGTCTTGAATAATTATTAGTTTTTCCTAATGTAAAATGCATCTATCTATCCACTTTCTTACTACTTACTACAAATATTCCTCTTCTTTTTTTTAGGGAAAGAGTAATCTTAGTGATGTATATTAATTTTCACAATATATTTTTCTTAATATATTTTCTTAGTGATCTATATTAATGTATATTAATTCTATATTAATTTAAAAAATTGCTTTAGATGAACATCTCAGTAAGAATAAAAGAGATTTCATGATTTTTTTCACAAAGAAATTTTCTTTATATTTAAAGTAAAGTGTTTGATAAGATATACCACATAGGGAGAAGTTGAGTCAAACTCAAAATAGTGCTGTGGTAAATTGTGCCAATTAGAGGTAGATTCCAACATTGGAAAAAAGTGTTTTCCAGGCTTTGTATGGTTTTATTTAACAGACATCCCACCTGAGTTCTAAATTTATTTCTCAGAGCAGCTAAGCTCCTGGGAGAGAAATTATACTGCAAGATAAGAGTTTATAAGGAAATACATGCAGATACACCCTCATAAATCACAGTGAGTGCAGTCCCACCACACACCCCTGCTCAAGAGCCTACTAGAATTTCGGATGAGTAAAAATGTAGAATGAAAGTGATTCTTTCAGAAATCATAATGATTAATTAATAAAGAATGCCTAAATTAGGGTCTTTAAATTTGTCTTTCAACAACATGTGTTTTTAGCCTACTCTATACTACAGGTAGCCCCCTATACCCTCCTCCCATGAATTTTGTCAAGACCACTTTGACTTTGTATTGCAGCAGACTATTTAAGACTAAGTTGTACTTGTTTTACCTCTGCTTTTCCCTTGCTCTATTTCAAGGCAGAATCCAGGCTATGAAATTCCTCACTGCATAGATGTTAACGTGGCAGGAAACATAAGCAATCTTAAATCCAAAGCCGCTGTTTTGTTTTATGTAAAATACTGCTGCTCTTTAGAAGAGAGGGAGTCCCAAGGTTGGTGAGGAACCAGGGATAGGTTTGAAAGTGGGAAAGAGCTAAGAATAGGAAAAGGGGAAAGGACACAGAGGCTTATGCTGTGGACTGAATACCTGCAGTCTGGCAGAACCAGGGAAAGGGAGAAGGCTTCAAAGGGGATGGCTCTGTTTGCCCAGACTGACCCAAATTCCTGTGCCCCAAGTGCGACCTAATAGCTGGGTTGTTAGATACAAGAAGAACACAGTAAATGGCCTCAGAAATAGAGTGAAAATCGAAGGATCTCAGAAGGACCTTTTAGAAGACCATAACTTTGTTTTATCCTTATCTTGGCCTTATCTGAGCCTTATCCATGAGCACATGTGCGTGTGTGTATGTGTGTTGTGTGCATGCACACGGTGGGGTGGGGCACTGGAGGATGGGGCCCAGCATAAGCAGGAATTCCAAAGGGATGGGTCATTGTTAGAACTGAACTAAGGTGACTTAAGGAAATAAAGATATGGTATTTCTCCCACTTGTGTGGACTAAATTCATCTCTACCAGAGATGATCATTGAGGATTATACATAAAGGAACCAAACCTTTAGGTTTGAATATAAATGGAAGCTTTTTGTTTTCCAGGAAGATAAATACATTTCACTTATTATGTTTATCTTCCACAAAGTTACTTCATGACAAATTGTGCACATAATATATCTGTGTCCTACCCTACCAAATGAGGCAATTTATTGTTTTGATGCCTTCAGCCTCTGGAGAGGTACAATGAATGTTACTCTTTGCTAAAGCTCTGAGTGCTCTGAATCATTCTACACATCCTTACAGCCAGTGTTTACATACACTGTGTCTACTTTCCACCAAACACTGACCCAGGTTTTGGAAGATGAAGATAAATCACCTACCATTCAGCTCCCAAGGTGCACAGAGGCCCCATGTTGACAAGCTACTTCATTCCCATGTTTCTGACCCTAGGAGGGAACCCTTGTATTTAACAGACATCAGCCAACCAACAGTTTCTCACATTTGAATGTTTGGCCAAGGAAATACTCATCTGTCCCACTCCTCTTGAAGAAAACTTGCACTGAGAACAGATAATGCTTCCCATTCCCCATCATGCCTTCAGAATGCATATAGCAGGCATGATGAATATGAGCATATGCTAGATATAAGACTGTATTTCACAAAAATAGAAGCCAATCTGTATATTTCAGTATGGGTTTACTGATCTTCACATAATATGATTTCAAGTAAATTTACATTATATAGATCTGCCAGCTCCTAAATATTTGGTACACTAATCAGTATCTTACCCAATATCCTTTCATGAGACTATTGCCATCTTCATATAACTTGTGCTCCTTTTTCAGTCATTCAGCATCCTGTACAACACAACTAAGTGCCAGGAACTGGACCAGGCGGGGGAGGTTAAGCATGAAGGCCACCCTCCCTACTTTGGGTAAGCTCAATGCCTTTTTTAGATTGTATTAGCATTTTCTTTGCTCTTTTCACTTAAGGAAATACTTTTTTTTTCTTCTTGAATCCAGCAATATAGAATGTGAGTAAAGTTTAGAGATATTTTGTAAGTGGTACCATAAACCAGGCCCTTTCCCTGAAGACCCTTTATTTTTTAAATTTTTTACTCTGCAACATGTATTTTTTCTGTTTCTAGATGTCTGTGGCAGAAAAAAATAACTTGGAGATGAAACATTAGTGTCACTCTAAAAGCAATCATCTGCAAAATTTAGATTCTCTCTCTACAATGACTGCCTTGAAAAATGAAAAATTCAGCCACACAATTGATGTTTTAGTTTTGAGAATATGAAACCACTCATTTGACTTACTTTCACTACATGAACTGTTAAGTCACTGTTGAATGATGTGCCCCTTAGGTAAGACAGCCTGAGAAATTGTTTCCAAACCATTTGGTACTCACATCTTTTCCCACCACAATTTTCAGCCCAGTTTCAAGACCATCCACTTAGCTATCAGGCACCTTCTAGGGTGCTGACTTTTCCATACAAAGGTTTGTACACCTTCTTCATCCATTGAGCTCTCTCTGGAGTGACACTTCAGCTGTCTGTTGTAAGAGAACTGGCTTTATAAGTCACGTTCACTCCTTTCAGCCATGGGTTTTCCCATTTTAATCCCAATAAGAGGTCAGAATGTTTGCCTTCTGTTCTTTAGCATTTTCATTCACCTCCTGTCACTGTTCAAAGGTAATCTAGAAATTGTGCATAGGGAGAAAACTGATGTTTCCTATGCTTTGCACAGTTACCATAGGTTACGTACTAACCACAGTCAGTGGTCAATAACTGGTGTGGAATAAATGAAGAAGTGATTGAATGGCTATAACCAAAAGTCACTGCATAATAATGAATATTAGAGTGACTAATCAGATGCCATAGGAATTACTTAAATATTTTTACCACATTGCATTTTTTTTCCAAGTAAGAAATATTTTCCCTTCCAATGTTGGCCATCTTAGGATCTCTTCTTATTTCATCCAGTGACCAGGCAGGAAACAACATATACAAAGGATCATTGAAGAGCGCTTCATGAAGGGAGGGTTTACAGTGATGTGGGCAATGCGCAAAGGAGAGCACAGCACGCTGAAGCAGCATGAGGGCCGGGGTGGGAAGCAGTCCGTACTAGATAGAGCAGCTGGATGGAGAGGGCTGCTCAACAGGCATGGTGATAACCTGGCAGAGAGGAGTGCTTGTGCCTCCTTCTCCACTAACCCTTCAGTTTCTTGGCTAGTGTCTTCCACTGGCTGGATGCGAAAGTGAAGAACAAGGAAGCCTGCTGGTGCAGGCCCTGGAGATTAAAGGCCTGGGGCCCAGAGCAGGGTGGAATGTGGATTCCGAAGGGCAAAACAAAAACACCACACGTCTTCTCCAACTGAGGTAGCTAACTGGTGATCTACCAGTATTGACCCTTTCCTCCATATCTCTGTGCAGGATAATCAGAAGTAAGGAGAACATAATGGAAAACATGGGTTTCACTGTGGAAGTCCAACAACCAAAAAAGTATTGCAACAGAAAAGAAAAATAGAACTTCAATCTATTTTTGGTTCTTAATGGTGTACTTTGTAGAAAATCAAAGTTCAACTGTATTAGTGTCCCTCAAATTTGTTTGATAAAAGGTCTAAAAATTGTCCACATAATTTTTACCATTTGTATTTGTAAAGAAAGAAGTCTTCAATTCTGTCTTCAAAAAATGCATTGGGTTCTCTAAGAGTGGAGCCTGGACAGGGATTTTCCAAAGGAGTGCTTTCAAGAGAAATCTTCAAGGACAAGAGGAAAGCAGGATGGTGTGGGAGAAGCTACACAAAGGTGTGGTTCAGCTATGTAGCCTCAGGCTGATTCGAAGGGGAGCTCTGGCAAAGGAGACATAGAATTAGTCCTTAGAAGCAGGCTGTTCTGGTGGAAGCATTCCTTCCAGACATCTCCAAGCAAGGGGGCTGTCCTTGGCTGATGGTGATTATCTACGAGCAGGGGCATCTGTGACCCACCAGAAACCAACACCAGCAGCTGGGGAATGAGTCACTGGCCCAGAAAAAGATATCTGGGTGGGACACAACAACTACTAGTTCAATGTAAGCTTGTAGGCAGAATCCTCCTCATCCACAAATATTTCCATATTCTGACTTGAGGGGCTGATAAGTCTTTTATCACTTTGCAGTATACAGTGAATCATCTTATCTCTGGGAAAGTCCTATGAAGCAATTACATAATTGGCTTAGATAAGGTTGACCTGAAATAAAATTGTGAAATTGAGGTTTGGTTGCAAATACAACCGTCTTTTGAAGCTTCCCACCAGAAGCCCTCTATCTGTCTTCTTTTTTTTCTCCAGTGTGACTTCCACTAATGTCTCCCCTTCTCATTTTACACATTCAGTTGTTCTGAGACCCATTCCTATGTGGCTTTACTGGATGCTGAGATGATAACTGATCAGATTTAATCAGGAATGACATTAAAAATATTCATGTTATTATCAGTCAGCCGTAGCCAGTCAGAACATACCATGGGTGAAGCTTTCCTACAGGACAAGGTGCTAACCTTTAGTTGTTGAGTTATTGAGAGATGGGGCACTGAGGTGGGCTGAGGCAGCTGAGGTGGTGGTAGGGCACTGGGTTGAGGAATGCTCAGGACATAACCTGATTTTGGACCTGCTGGAAAGTTTCATTATGGCTATATGACCTCCTACTGACTAAATATCAGCCTGGGAGAGTTGTTTCTGATATTTGTTTTTATTGTTAATGTTGCATTGCTTTAAATCAAACCTTGGTAACTGTGGCTTTGAACCCTGAGGCAGTCTCCCAAATCACAAGAGAAGTCAGAAACTCAGAAGACCAATCTCCAATATAATTACAGTCATAGCTGTAACTTAACCCTAAATCAAGATTCCCATGAAACTTTTGCATCTAGTATAAAACAGAAAGCTAAATAGGAACATAGAAACATACTGTCATTATAAGGTCACTATTTATTACACATTTTGACAGAAAGTTGGATAAGAGCTTTCTAAACATAAGCTATATAACCTTGAGGAAATGACTAGATAGCAGGCTATCTGAGCTGATATGTCAATAGTCAGTGATTTTTATATTCATAACTTTTTAGACTGTGGCACTTTAATGTACAGTATTGCTCATTTATTATTTTTCTGGTATCATTTGTACAAAGTCTCCTAAAATCCTTCACAGTTGAGAACAGAGTCTAGACACTTATTATGATACAATCAAAAGAAAGCTGGCAAATAAGAAAAGGGAAAGTGAATAGAAGTACTGATTAAAAATAACAGTACAGTTTATATGAGGCTTCTCTTATATTTGTATTTTCCAAAATTCATCTTTGGAAGACTCACTTCACACTAAAATATTGTACTGGAAGTCAGCTTTATTTTACAGGTCTAAAGAAGAAAGAGTAGAGATTTGCATTTATTTCTTCTTAGGAAGAGTTCAGCAACCTAATAAAATAAATGACAGTGCATTTGAATAATTTTTGTATCAGAGAGGAAAGAAAATGCTCTATTTCCCTGAAGCCTGACATTGTATGTCACTGTTGAAGAAGGACAGGTCAACCATTACTAAATAAATGGTTTTGTCAAATCTATATCTGATTTGGGAATGTCAACTGTTTTATGAGAACTAAAAATGTGAAATTCACATAATCCAGTCCCTGAACACAATTTTCCCTTTAAGTTTCCAGAAGAACTCCTATTTCAGTTTTAGAGCCATCTGCTATTGTCTTTTGCCGCTGAGTATGTGTGATAGATAATTTCTTGGGGTGTAGCTAAACGAACATGAAGAAACTAGTTCATGCTGTAAAGTGATCTAGAAAAGCTGAAGCACAAATGTTAACATCTGTGCAAGGTATGGAGAAAGGGAGGAGGTAGAAGCCTGCACGAGTCACACACTGTTAACATGGGAGTCCAAGTTCCTAGCAAAGAAGATAAATGGAATGATGATTTACAGAACACAAGCTCATCCCTGTCAAAGGAGCAGAAAAGATGAATAATTGGCCAGGTGCATTCATGTGGCATGGAAAGGCAGAAACAACTCAATCGATTCTGTAACAAAGAGCAAAACCAATCCAGCCTGAATGAAAGACTAGCTAAAATTCCAATCTTAGATTTGATTGACTCAATTTGTTGACACAAAATTTCATTAAGTTCAGAGCATCATGATGGAGTTTGCCTTTTCTTCACAGGGCTGGTGGTTTTTGTGCTTTTTCAGTCTCTGAATCACACCCCCCTCTAGCAAGGCACATTGGCAGATAAGCATCATAGCAGTCTGCTCCCAGGAGGGGGGCTCCGGTTCTTCATACGGGAAAGTCACAAGTTGGGCGAGATGTGAAGAGATTCAATTTCACTAAAAGCCTATAGCTGAGATTGCCTTCTCATAATCAGCACAAAGGATGTCCTCTGGACGATTAATGCAACTTTCATATCCTCTTCAATTTGGCTCTAAAATAGCCCTTTCAAAGACTATATATAATTCTCTCACCAATAACTTTTTAAAGTGTTTCCGGATGGACTGTTTTAAGCCTTTCCCCCATTTCAGATTAATGTTGAGAAAGGACATCAGTAAGCCTTTGTTTTGGAAGGAAATCCAGAATAATATGCTCTAGGTCTTAAGCATGTTATTTTTAGGGGCATTGTGAGTTGAGAGCCTGGCAGTGTTTGGACCTCAAGTCCTACGCTAACGGCGAAGCCATGTGCGGGAGCCTCCACTCCTGTTATTTCTGTATCTCAGACCGCCTGTGCCTCTCCTCACACCCACCGCTCTACCCTTTTCAAGGCCTAACTTAACTCCCACTTCTCCCTTATAACCTTCCCTGGTTTCTCTAGTGTTTATTAGCCACAATGAACCGTTCAGGATTACATGTGTGAGCATTTCTGCCTCCTGGTTCTTATACTCTGGCCTCCTCTCTCATCCCCTGGAGGGCTTGTTGA